ACATGGGAACCCAACAACTACACCAGCAGATGAAGGCAATGCATAATAGACAGGCTACGAAAGCGAAACCATGTAAACTGGGCTATTAGTTGTCCATTGCAACTCTCCCTCTGCCCAGTCGTTGCAACAGAATGGATGAGGAAAAGGGAGAGCCAAGATGTGCGGTTGCAGCCTGCGTCTTGCCTCACCAAATAAATCAACGCACAGCCATCATCCAGCTCATCATTCTTCTTATCATTAAAACCCCTATACTCCCAAAAGTCCTATGGCGACGGACGAATTGCGACAGGATGATGCAGAGATGACTGTCGGGAGTCTCTAGTCACAACTCTGCACATGGGTGGCACAGATGAGATGGTCGTTTATGCACTGGGATCTAGGCAGCAGTGCAATCCAGTCCTGTCTATGTGACAGAGCAGCCCTTCTCAGGACCCACTCTGCTAACCCCACATGGGGACGGGGCTAGAAAATATGCCCTAAAAATAGGCTGCCTAAAGAACCAACCTGACTGGGCAACCACACCTAGTAAGTTTATCATTATGCAGTCGAAAACACACTCATAACCACAGATCAAAACAAAAACAAACTATTCAACTTCTTTTGGTTGCTCCATAGAATGAGCGTTCTCAAAGAAGAACCACCCTTGTGGCAAAGGAGCTGGCTAGATATAAAATCGACATACCAGCCATTAGTGAATCCCAGCTTCCCAGACTAAGGTCGACTCACTGAACGGAGGTCTGGCTATCCCCTCTTTTCGAACGGTAAGCCTGCTACGGAGAGAAACCACATTTATGGAGATGGCTTTGCAATCTGCCAATATATCTTACATATTGTAGACTAACTGAAATGCCAGTTGGGATCAACGAGTGCCTCATGACGCTCCGAGTCCCACTGAATCACTCACAGCATGCCTTCTTCATCAGTGTATACGCCTTAACACTGGATGCAAAGGATGACAGAGTACTAACCTCTATCCCAGAGAAGATAAGGATGTGCTCCTAGGTGACTTCAATGCCAGAGTTGGCAGAGATGCTGACATGTGGCAGGGAATAATAGGGAGAAATGGACTAGGCAAGTGTAACCCTAACGGCCTACTCCTCCTCAACAAGTGTGCTGAATACAACATTACTATCACCAATACCTTGTTTAGGCAAGCTGCCAAGTTGAAGAGTTCGTGGAAACACCCACGATCCAAACACTGGCATCTCGGTAACTACATTATTGTAAGAGAAAGAGATCGCCGAGATGTCCTCATCACCCGAGCCATGCGTGGCTCATACAACTGCGACACTGATCTTTAGCTCGTCAGAGACAAGCTCTCACTTGGTCACCCCAAAACGGCGAAGGCAACAAGGCCTCCAGAAGAGGTGTGTTGTGTTGAGGATTCAGAGGGAGCACATGCCTTCAGAGAGCAGCTTGAGGACGGGCTGATAAACAAACCAACAACAAACAACGCAAATGGGATATCCTCGACACTGTCATAGCAAAAACCTCAGCCAGATCAAAAGAATATACAGTAGCAGGGTTGGTTGGAGGGAAATTACCCAGAAATCAATGTACTCATCAATAATAAACGTGCTGCTTTAATTGACTGGCAGAAATACCCTCAGTCTCGAACAAAAGAGGATACCTTCTACAAGAACAAAGTGGCGGCCCAGCACGTGAAATACAAAACCTCGGAGATCAACACAAGATGTGTTAATTTTTAAATTCCACTGAAATATTTTATGGACGAATCACTCATGGTGCACCCCTCCCCTCCCTTCCGCTCATCCGACAGTAACTCCCTAATTATAGACGAAGAAGGCATCCTTCAATGCTAATAAAAGCACTATCTTTCGCTGCTCAATCGAAACACCGATGTGGATGTCCTGACTACCCAGTAGGTCCCTCTGCATCCAGTGCTCTCCTACCTCAGCTATCCTCCATCCCTGTGTGAGATAGCTACTGCTATCAAACATATGAAAAATAAGTCTCAGGGCCTGATGAAGTCTCAGCCGAGGTGTATAAAGCAGGAGGACCTCTGCTTACCATCCGACTCCACTTTCTCCTGGAGAATATATGAGAAAAGGAGGAAATCCCCCAAGCCCTTAGAGACGCCTTCATTGTCAGTATATATTAGAACAAGGAGACCAGTCAGATTGTCGGAACTACAGCAGGATCTTGCTGCTGTCCGTAGCTGGCAAGATTATCGCCCAAGTCCTCCTAAACAGACTTCTTCCTGAGGCTGAAAACTTCCTCCCAGAATCTCAATTTGGATTGAGACCATCATGTGGCACCACTGATATGATCATTGTTTCCCGCAAGATATAGGAAAAAGTGCAGAGAACAACGTCGTGATCTGTACATGGCCTTCATCGACCTAACCAAGGACTTCGATTTGGTCAAGAGAGAAGCCCTCTGGCGGACACTCAGCCGTTTTGGCTGCCCACCCAAATTCCTGCACAATGGCACCCAGTTTAAGTTTTCTTGGCTGCCTTCCTTACCTGTGCCAGTGCCAATTTAGTCGGCGGGTGGACATCCAGTACTGAATGAAGGGTCTTTTCAACGTAAAACGACTCCAGGCATAAACAAAGTTGTCTCCAGCTTTCATAATTGAACTTCAGTATGCAGACGCCCTTACCGTTGTTGCTCACACTGAATGCGACCTACAGGAGATCCTGACCACCTTTGCAGATCTTTATGCATACTTCGACCTTGAGGTGAATCTACGTAAAACTCAGATTCTCTTTCAGCATTTCCCTGGTTCAGCAAGACCTCCACCATCGATCCAGCTTTCCGGTACTACCTTCTCTAATGTTACTCACTTTCAGTATGTCGGGTACCACCTGTCCACCACTGCGGACATCGATAAAGAGATTTAAGTTCGAATCAGATGTTCATCTCTAGCCTTTGGTAGACTCTACACCCGTATCTTCAGCTGTAGGGAGCTGAAATTATCTACAAAGTTGCACATATATCGAGCAGTGGTCCTTCCCACCCTGCTATATGGCAGTGAGACATGGGTCACATACAGGAGGCACCTCAAGGCGCTTGAAAACTTTCACTACCGAAGTCTTCGTTCCATCTTCCGAGTGTGTTTGTTAAGTCAAGGATGTTTATTTGCTCGAAAAACGGCTAACAAAGTACTTAGGTTAATACAAAGGAGTGTTATTTATAAGAATAGCGAGGTTATCCTAAAATTATATCTTGCGCTTGTGAGACCTCACTTGGATTACGCAGTTCAGTTCTGGTCACCATACGACAGAATGGATATAGAAACCTGAGAAAGAATTCAGAGGAGAATGACAAGACAACTCCCAGGCATTAGGAACCTTCAGTACAGAGACAGGTTAAAGTGAGAGGCAATATAATCGAGGTGTATAAATGGTAGTCAGGGCTAAACAGAGGTGATATAACATAGGTACTCAAACTATACTACTAGGAGCTAACTCGTAGCAATGGTTTTAAATTGAACAAATTTTGATTAAGGCGTGAGATAGGTAAATATTGGCTTGGAAATAGAGTAGTGGATGAGTGGAACAAGTTACCCAACATCATCATTAACTCGAATACGCTGGATAGCTTCAAACATAGGTTGGATGGATATATGAGCGATAGGGGTTGGGTGTAAACGGGACTGCCCAGTATGGGTCAATAGGCCCCTGCTGTTTCGTCCATTCTTGTGTTCTTATGTTGTTTTTATGTTGAAAGACAAGAGAACAGTTGCCAGTATTCACGCTGACACCAACCGTAGGACCATCGAGGTTACCATTATCCATGAACAACTACATTGAGTTGGCCGTGTTACCCACTTGGACGACAGTAGACTGCCAAAGGTATAAGGATAGTTTTGAGACAAACCTGAAAAAGTGACAAATCCACCCCCTCACCTAGGAGACGATTACTTCAAACCGTAATACTTGGAGGAGCACCACACGACAAGGTGTCAATACTTTCAAATTAACCCAACTGCAATCCTAGGCAGACAAGCGCCAACGTTATAAAGACGCTGCCGCCGCCCCTCCCGTACTCGTTGTAGCCCTCCACACGTGCATCATCTGTGAAAGAATCTGCCGGTCACATATCGCCCTCTCTTAGTTACCTCACAACTCACCAACGAAGGTGACATCCTTAATAATTCATATCATTTTATGTTAGCTTGTCATGCTCGATTTCGAGTGACAGGAAAGTAGTAGTAGTAGCTGGTGTCCTATTATCATTCACTTGAGGATATGTAGCTGGGGTCCTGGTATCTTTTCCTGAGGGAGTCTAGCTGGATTCCTGGTAGCATTCCCTTGAGGGAGTCTAGCTGGAGTACCGGTATCATTCACTTCGAAGATGTGAGCTGGGGTCTTGGTATCATTCGCTAGAGATGGTATGGCTGGGGTCCTGGTTTCATTCACTTTGAAGGTGTGTGTTTTGGGGTCCTAGGATCATTCACTTGAGTGTGTGTAGCTGGGATCTTGGTATCATTCGTTTGAAGATGTGTAGCTGGGGTCCTGGTATTATTCGCTTGAGGGTGCGTGGCTGGGGTCAGTCTCTGCCAAGATATTCTGGTGATCGAGAAGAATGTCGTTTTTTTCACGAATATGCAGCATTTTATTTATATTTTGCCTAGGAATTATGGTGTCTTGGGTTCTGTTGGCTGATAAATATCCAGTGTAGGGAGTTATGTCCGCCGTGATGTGTCGGTAGTGAGCGCCATGCAGGTGTTGCTACTGACAACTTTTGTCTCCCGGCTGAGAACGTAATTCATATATGATTACTGTAGATATAATTCTTTGTTGTTCCAGCATTTTACTTGTAACTTTTAAGCGTTTGTTAACTAAGGAACTAAAGATAGTTTTATTGATTAGTCAAACACCATATACAGATGACAATATATTCAAATACGCTGTGATCCATTGTTACAAAACATTTTACATGTTGACAAACACGACCTCCAGCACAATCAGTACGACTACCACTACTATAACCAATCAGCTTATTTATACAGGGAGTAATAGTCACTTCTACTCTTATTCTGAGTACTTGCAGCAGCAGATCTCACACTTTTTGCAATCATCATTCAGCTTCAAAAACTCTCGCTGGAACACCTTTTCCGTGGTATCTGAACTATAGCTTGACTATATAAATGTCAGCAGAGGATCTGGAGTAATCTGGCTTACGTGCAGTCTCGTATACTTGGTATATAATCACGTGACGGTCAGGAGATTGTGAGGTTCAAGGTTCAGTTTGACCCCAGACTTAAACGATTAACGTTTTCACTTCCTTAACCAGAGAGAAAAAAAAAGAAAGATAAAAAAGAATAACTGGAGGAAAAGAAATATACACACACACACACACAGACACACACACACAGACACACACACACACACACACACACATGCATTCCTCCTGTTCTCCTTAATAATTTACTTTACTGCTCTCGAAATAAACTACAGCAAGAGTGATAATTACATTATATTCCTCAAACTTGTTTCCAAAGAGCTTATTGCATTATACTTGTTCCAGGGAGTCTGTTAACAGTTTGTTCCCCAGCAAACGAAATTATCAATACCATCAATATCTGAAGTTGTATCTCTCCTTGAAACAATATTAGATAATTAATTCTTTTGTCTACACATTACATTTACGTGATATCCCAAAATAGTGGAAACATTGTTAAAATATGGTGCATGTCTACTGAAGGTCTGTGGTGCGTTGAAGATCTGTGGTGTGTTGAAGGTCTGTGGTGTGTTGAAGATCTTTGGTGCACTAAAGTTCTGTGGTGTGTTGAAGGTCTGTGGTGTGTTGAAGGTCTGTGGTGTGTTGAAGATCTGTGGTGTGTTGAAGGTCTGTGGTGTGTTGAAGATCTTTGGTGCACTAAAGGTCTGTGTTATGTTGAAGGTCTGTGGTGTGTTGAAGGTCTGTGGTGTGTTGAAGATCTTTGGTGCACTAAAGGTCTGTGGTACGTTGAAGGTCTGTGGTGTGTTGAAGATCTGTGGTGTGTTGAAGATCTTTGGTGCACTAAAGGTCTGTGGTATGTTGAAGGTCTGTGGTGTGTTGAAGATCTGTGGTGTGTTGAAGGCCTGTGGTGTGTTGAAGATCTGTGGTGTGTTGAAGATGTGTGGTGTGTTGAAGATCTTTGGTGCACTAAAGGTCTGTGGTATGTTGAAGGTCTGTGGTGCATTGAAGGTCTGCGGTGTGTTGAATGTCTGTGGTGTGTTGAATGTCTGTGGTGTGTTGATGGTTTGTGGTGAAGGTCTCTGGTGTGTTGAAGGTTTGTGGAGAAGGTCTCTGGTGTATGAATGTCTGAGGGGTAGTGAAGGACTGTGGTGTACTGAAGGTCTGTGGTGTGTTGAAGGTCTGTGCTTTATTGAAAGTCTGGTGTGTTGAAGCTCTGTGGTAAGTTGAAGGTCTATATTGTGTTGAAGGTCTATGGTGTGTCGAAGGTCTGTGGTTTGTTGAACGCCTGTGGTGTGTTGAAGGACTTGGTGTTGATGGTCTGTAGTCTGTTGCAAGTCTGTGGTGTGTTGTAGGTCTCTGATGTGTTGAAGGTCTGTGTGTTGAAGGTCTGTGGTGTGTTGAAGATCTATGGTGTGTTGAAAATCTGTGGTGCACCGAAGGTCTGTGGTATGTTGAAGGTATGTAGTGTGTTGAAAGTCTGTGGTGTGTTGAGGGTCTGTGGTGTGTTGAGGGTCTGTGGTGTGTTGAGGGTCTGTGGTGTGTTGAAGTTCCGTGGTGTACAGAAGGTCTGTGGTGTACTGAAAGTCTGTGGTGTTGAATGTCTATTAGGGTGTGTCAATTTAGGGGGTGAAATGGCTAAATTGAAAATCGAGTAATTTGGTAGCAATTTATTGTAGTCTTTAAGCATGCAAAACAATATTCTGGCATAAATTTTTTTTTATAATAAGTCCTACCTACATCAAATGGATTTTTAAATGTACATATTTGTGAATTTATAACATAACCAGCGTTTGCACACATGTTACTGTTTCAAGTTTCAAATTATTATATTTTATTATCCGTAGTCTATTTGAAAGTAACCAATGCCTTCATACTCTCTTTGCTTTGGTTTCTTGTCATCAGTAGTCTGCTTGCTATTTGTGCTTTGATGTAACCTTCTCGCCTCTCGTGGCTGTAAACATGGCCCGCTGCTTCTGTGACCATTTTCACACATCTCTCCACACTTTGAGTGTGGGAAGGCCACTTCGGCACCTGCATTGGAGTCTCTTTAAGGTTTCTCAATTCTTGGCTAGTTAGACTTGTTGTCAATGGTGGCTCTAAGACTTCCAAACTCAAGTCAACCAATTCTGACAATTTGGTGGCATTGACGTTTATTGGGGGAACTTTTCTTGAATGAAACGAACAGTCTCCCAACTGGTCGTCATCTATTAGCGTTCCTCTAATCTTTAGAATGACTTCTACAGCCTCGGTTCGGAGATTGGTACATTGACTGCAAAGCATTGCTTGCAAAACTGCTTCTGATCGAGCATACCAAGCGGACCTTCTTGCCACAGGTAACACGATGTCCCTCACTACCTTCCTCTGTGTTCTTACTAGCTGCAATTGAAACAAAAGGTGATTGGGCCCATCCACCCACATAGGATTAAGTTTCACACTGTATACGCAGTCGCAAGTTTTCTGAATCTGCTTCTTTCGCTTTAGCCTCAGCTTCCGCCTGACGTATCCCAACTCTTTTCGCTATAGCTTCAGCTTCTGCCTGACGTATTCCAACTTCCCTCTCTATAGCTTCAGCTTCTTTCAATTATATTTGTGACTCGAGAAGGCTTAATTCATCATTCACTGACCGTGACTCAGCTACATTAACTTGACTAGCTTCACCGTGGTCTTCTCTTAAACCAACATCAACACTATCTCCAAACAGCTGACTACTTACCGCGTTAAACAATTTTACTTTACTGGCGCTGCTAGAAATTTCCATACCATAATACTAGCAAATTAATCTTAATTTATGTGCACTTAATTTTGAAACTTCCTCAACGGAGGGTTTACCTGATACAAATGCAGCCACATCATCTTGGCTAATGATAACCATGATGGCTAGCTAATAAAACAAATAAATAAAACACAAAAGAATATGACAAGTGTCAAAAGGTTGTTAGTGAATCCTGGCAAGGTCACCAAAACTGCTACGCCGTCTCTTAATTTACTTTAATAACCAGGTTCTAAGCGTAAACAAACAAAAAGAACGTGAATAAATCAAAAGGAAATATAAATAAATAAAGTAAACCTTTAAGAATTTAATTAAATTAAATATTAACACTATAAAGAGCCTCGTAGGCTGTCACAACAAATTGATTCACTATCGAAAGCTTTTAAGACACAAATGATACTAAACATCGAAACATCAAGAATTGCTTAAATATATAGAATAAAAATAAAGCACTGGATTACGTTAACACTACATAAACATATAAAATAACTAACACAGAAATTAACTAACGTGAAACAACACTGAATTACTTAAATGTAACTAAACAAACACAGATGGACACGCAAGAGACATAATTAGGTACTCACATAGATATGCCACATTGGTGGTGACAGGAACAACACAGAAATAAAATGAAGTATTAGTAACAGGTGACAAGTGTCACTCAAAAGAACGTGAACTGAATGACTAGAGGACTGGACTGAACTCTGTCTACAGGTGGAGTACTATATATAGGGTCGTTTCCCACCAATGCTACCAGCCAGTGAAACATGGGTCGTTTAACGATGCAGATGGTCGTTAGAGAAACAAAGAATGCTTGTTACAATACTAAATGAAGAAATAAGATGGGCTTGAACAAATAAAAACAGTTAAAACCTTAACAGCACAGGGTAAGGTGACTAGATTATATAATAGTAAATTTAACACATCATTACAGGAATAATATGGAACAACATGGAAGCATGTTATAAAAAAAAAAAAAGAGAAATACGACACGGTCGTAACAAATGTAAAGTACTCGGTATAGGAGATGTAAACAGGGAAACCAGATACCAGATGAACAACGATGCCATAGAGAAATCCGACTGCGAGAGTGATTTAGGAGTAATGATAAGTAGGAACCTTAAGCCAAGTAAACAATGTGTTTTTGCTCGTAACAAGGCTAATAAAGTACTTGGATTCATACAAAGGAGTGTTAATTACAAGACTAGCGAGGTCATCCTAAAACTGTATCTTGCTCTTGTGAGACCACACCTGGATTACGCAGTTCAGTTCTGGTCACTGTATTACAGAATGGATATAGAATCCTTGGAAAGAATTCAGAGGAGAATGACAAGAGTAATCCCGGGCATTAGGAACCTTGAGTATAGAGACAGGTTAAAGCATCTTAATTTGCACTCCCTTGAGAGACGTAGAGCGAGAGGCGACCTGATAGAGGTGTATAAGTGGAAGGCAGGGCTAAACAAAGGGGACATTACAAAGGTACTCAAACTATCCAACCAGGAGCGAACTCATAACAATGGTTTTAAATTAGACAAATTTAGATTTAGGCGTGAAATAGGTAAACACTGGTTTGGAAACAGAGTAGTGGATGAATGGAACATGTTACCAAATATCATCATTAACTCGAATACGCTGAATAGCTTCAAACATAGGTTGGATGCTCATATGAGCAATAGGGGTTGGGTGTAAACGGGACTGCCCAGTATGGGCTAATAGGCCCGCTGCAGTTTCCTCCATTCTTATGTTCTTATGTATGTGTGTGTGTATGTATGTATGTATGTAAAAATAATAATAATAACAATTAACGGTATATTAAGAAAACATGGCAGCCCCAAAGCTGAAAATATACAATGAACAGAGATGATAAGTTAAATATGGTGAAATCGGGGAGTGGGTCACTTGATTGACAAAAGCTTTCAATACAAAACAAGAAACATAGTCAACATATAGATAAACTGGTCTTGTAAACATTCTTGTGACCTCAGTGGATGGCCATAGCATTGTACCTGGGTGCAAATCCGCTACCTCACTACAGCTGCACCACGTGGTCCGGGTAGGTCCTTCAGCTCACACAGGGTGTTGGAGATGGTTTTTGTTCCTTGTTTGATGTAGTTAGGAATTTAGAGTGATTTGCCTGTATGTATGGATGTGTGTGTGTGTGTGGCGTCCTGTGGTGTAATAATCAGCATGCAATAATCAGTATGCTCGTCTCGCAAGCGAGTGGTCCCGGGTTCCTTGACACTAGGTCATGAAACTCATTAACTTACGGTGTAGTTGTTGTGTTGGCAACATCTTCTACACCTTAAACAAATTCCTTAGGTTTAGGTGACTGGTTTGATGCATGTATTCCATATTTTAAACCACTTAAAAAAGTCCAGTTATTAATGCACTACAATTATAAGTGTAAATACCAGTGATGATAATAATACACAAAAGGTAATTAGATCAGTGAACTTTTTCCCGTCAATTCATCATGTGGGGAAAGAAAGAGACTGGCAGGGAGATAGACTGCCAGAGAGACAGCGAAAGATAGAGTCTGACAGAGAAAAACAGAAAGAGGGTGAGACTGACAGAGAGATAGATCAGAGCATAATTACCCTCAATCCTTGTTATGTTAGAATTATTACCTCTCTGATGTGTATAATCTCCCAAAATGAATTAATATTAGGAAGTCTGCTAGTTTTTAATATGAATAATTAAATAGTATATTATTATAATTTCTATCATGATATCGGTATTTCAAGACAAGAATGAACAGCAATTCTCGAGTGAGTGGTTAACTGTTGCTGTTCACGAATGAGCCAAACTAAATAGTTGTTTAAATACTTAAACATATAAAGAGGTATTTATTCAGTAAAAATTCGTAAACAATATGCCTATTCTACCAAGAATAGCCCAACAAAACCACCATGAGCTTATATTATTAAGGTCCTTTGGTTTGGCTGGGCACTAACCAATAAAAAAATTACCAAATAAACACGTAATGTTGTTGCTAAATGTCACAAGATAACATTGCACTTACTGTTCATAACTGATGGATCACTTCCAGAGTAGAACATTTATGGCTGTAGCCTCATCGAGTAGTTTTTTCTTTCATTCTAATCTTGAAATTCTTTATAGTTAAGTGTATAGAGGAAAGTATTTTTTGATTGCCCGATTCCATTAAATATTGTACTATAAAATTATGCTGTCCCATATTTATTCCTTAACAAAGGGTTATACAGCCTTGCCAGTCCCGGCTACAAGAGATGGACAGTCGTAAAAAAACACAAAAAAGACCTCAACTACCTTAACAATAACTTGCCACCTAACGTGTATAAACCTAAAATAAACCTCACATAGTTTGTATTTTAGACTTTGTATTAAGGCAGAGAACCATGATGAACAATAATAGTCCGAGTTGCATGAGCGCTAAGCAAAGGTTCGTTCTGGCATTTGTTGACACACAATTGACATTTCTGTGAGAAATTTATCCTATCATTGTTTAAATCAGTCTAAAGGTTCTACGTCGATTTCCTGTAGTTCGTCAATTGGTACATAATGTTCAACTGTGCCACAGACCTTTCGTAAATCTAACGTTACCATCCCTTTGCAATTTCTATGAACTATTTGGGTCCTGAAATGGTTAATGAGATTGACCAAGTATAATATTTTTGAATGAGAGCTCTTAAGAACAGATTAGTGTCTGTATAAACTTAAGAACAGATTAGTGTCTGTATAAACTTAAGAACTGATTAGTGTCTGTATAAACTTAAGAACTGATTAGTGTCTGTATAAACTTAAGAACAGATTAGTGTCTGTATAAACTTAAGAACAGATTAGTGTATGTATAAACTTAAGAACAGATTAGTGTCTGTATAAACTTAAGAACAGATTAGTGTCTGTATAAACTTAAGAACAGATTAGTGTCTGTTTAAAGTAACACTATCATAAATATGTAATTCTACTTGAACAGATATCCTGCCTTTTTTAAAACTACTGAAACCATACATGCGATATTAGAAAGCCTATAATTATTTACCTATTCTATCGTTTTTCTCGCAGACAGCTAAAACTCTGTCAAGGATATGTTCATATAGCACAGTATTAGTGCTAAAGGAAAGATTAATTATCCGTGCTACTGGAATATGTTCAGTACCTGTGCCTTTGTAGAGGTAAAATCTATTCAGCTCTTTTAGCACAAAATCCTCTGATTCACTATAGATATCAACGCTATTTGGAGGGAATACTCTGTATAGTAACTTTAGGTGTATCTGAGTCTACATTATAAACGTCTGAGGCAACGGGCGATAAACCGAGACAACTTGCTTAAGCCAGATTATAACCCTGGGAGTAAAATGATCTGGGTTAGTTGCCTACCCAGGATTGATTCTGGCATGGGTTCTCACCTACCTAACCTAACTGATATTATAGTTAAAGCAAGAGTCTAACTCGGGATAGAAACTTAATCTAAGTCTAGAAAGTATAAGGGTATAAATTGGCTATTGTGAGTACATGCATATTTAGACTAGGAAAGATCATAGCTGTGAGAGGTAAAACATTGGCTCTTAGATATTTTCCGTGCAGGTGAGGTGTCCAAATGGTTAATGTTTCTCTTTAATCCTTATTTATATCGGACAAAAGAAGATAAAGTTGATTCAATGTATGACATGGCCCAAATACGTTTCTGTGTACTGAAAGGTGACGACCTTGCCTTGAAACCCCATGTTAATTTGCTCACACTGATTATCTTGCAGGGAAAGACGAGTTAATATACACTTGCTGAGATTAAATGTCAGATTGTATTCCACCCACCCTATGTTGTGCTCACATTTAATAAACAATTTCTCATGGCACATCTGGTTGGAGCGAGTAACAGCACATCATCTGGCACACCCAAACACATTAACCCATGTCACCTACATGACAGTCAATCCCACACACCTAGACACATTTAGCCAGCAGGTGTGTAACTTGACAGTCAACATTATGGGGTATGGTATAAGTGTCTATTATATCTTAATGCCCAGGTGTAAGAATTCCTACTACATTTACATTTACTGTTATCATAATAAATATATGCGCATTGCTTTGATATACAAATCTTTTGGTTCACGAAT